TTTGTTACGACCCTTTGAATGTCATCAATATCGCTAAAGAAGAGACATTTCAATTGTAACTTTAATTTTGGGAATATAAAATAATCACAGGGAGACAGATCTGAGGAATAGGGTGGAAGGCTGAGAACACACAATTGTTTAGGGTTGTCTCTTTGGTACTCAGCCCGCTGATGTTTTTGGTCATTAGACAACGAATGTGGTACAAACCGGCAAGCAACTTTTTTTCTTGCCAAAATCTTGCACTTAAATGTTATGAACGGTCTCTCTATTAACACAAGATTCATCTGCCATCATCCTCATAGTAAAACAATGATCTTCTTGTATCCGTTCTCTGACTTTTGCAATGAGTTGATCATTACGACATAAATTTGGCGTCCAGGTCTAGGTGCCTTAGTAATAATTTCCATACCACTTTTGAATCGTGAATACTATCTGAAAATGTGTGCTCGAGATAAACCATTATCCCCATAAACTTGATGCATCAATTCATCTGTTTCATTAGCGCTTTTTCTGAGTTTTAAAAAGAATTTAATGTTAGCTTTTTTGCTCCATGCTGATTTCGTAACAATGCAACTCTGACAAAATATCGGCTTATTTGTTGTCTGCTTATCCAGCGGCGATGAAAAGTTGCCAGATCACAGATTAATGTTGCCTCTTTAGATTCCATGCTTTGCTTCAAAGTTGGCATTTTTTTCTTGGCCATAATAAAATCAGTCTCATTACCTAATTGTCGGACCTTGTAAAATGCTGCTTTTGTTTTTTGGCATTGCTAGGATTTGGAGACAAGATACTCATTTACACTGACCATGTTCAAAAGAGGCTACAGGATCCTAGCATGCATTTTCATGATGCTGCCCTGAATCTGAAAGCTTTTAGAGATCATTTTAATGAGAAACGAGAAGTATGGGTCAGTGAACTACTAGAAAAAATGACGTAATCTCTGCGAAGAATGGAACGTTGAAGTAGAATAGCGTCGGAGACGGAAAAAAATGGCGGGTGAGAACATAGCAGATGCTGGGTTGATGGAGAAAGAGGAAATGGATAGGGTCATAAAGGTAGAACTCGGCTGACTTCACCTAGAAATGGCTGAAAGATGTACTCGTCTGCATGACATAGATACAAAGTTTGGGTTCCTCCTCGATGTTGATGGACTGTGTTATTGTTTGGACAAGACTAGAGCCGAAGTGTGAACGTGTATGTTAATTGCACAGCTAAGATATTGATGACATTTTTAGCAATATGAATAGGTTCTGGATTGCAGAGTGCTGCTGTCAAGTCGTACCAACATAAAGATAATACTACCTGAAGAACTCCTCACGTTCGTTGTTCAGTATTTACACAATGCTAGTCATTGCAGTTTCCAATGCCAGCTGCGAAAGATCTTTCAGTAAAATGAAACTCATTATTGATTATGTAAGGGCATCTATGGGACAAGACAGACCCTATGCTCTTGCTCTACTCAGCGGAGAACTAAAAAAAAAAAAAAAAATTAACCCTGATTACAAAATAGACCAGTTCGCATCTGTAAAAAAAGCAGCAAAAATGCGTTTGTGGTTTTAATCGTGTGCCAGTAAAATGTCATGATTTGTTAATTAAAGATTTGTTAGCATGCTAATTTAATATGAAAAGAAATAAAAATTAGAATTATAATTTACTACTTATACGAACTAATGAAACTGAATATATGAAACTATTTTTGGGGGCTTTATTAATATCATACCTCAAAAAGGGAAAATCCACAGGTCACTGGACAATCTGTAGATAGGCTGCATGCAGTCGTGGGACCCAGGCTGCCCTCTCTCGTAGGACGTAGGTGGGTTTGAGTAAAGGCCAGTTCTAGATGTTTTGGGGTTGTTAAAAACATCAGAAAGCTAGGAAACCCAGTAATACCACGCTCTAAAATGTTGGACTGCTCTTTGACGTCATTTGGGGTAGGATATTAATAAAGCACCTATTTTTGTAATTGATGCAATTGACGAACAAAAAATCGGGTAATGTACTGAAAATTTGGGGGAGGGGTGGGGGGCGCATAGGGAAGTCTAGTGTGAATACACATCTTTTTATAATCGTGACCTCTGCTGGGCTAAGAAACTAATTTGTATGCTAAAGATGTAGATGCATTGACCTTAAAAACATTTGTTTCTGGAATTGGCACTAATTGCCTACTAAAATAATTATTAATTCAGTAGTCACTCACAACACACTGAGTTGACATTTCGCACAATTTAACATTAAACACCCAGTAAATGTTACTATCCTTTGAATTTTACTTGGAAAGGAATAAAACAGACTTTCTAATTATGCACTTCAAAAAGTAGCCACAAAACAAAACAATGGCTAATGCACGGTTAAAAAAAAATCGGACCCCTCCCCCTCTTTCCATCCCGCCATGGGCGCCAAATGCTGCTACTACTACTGAATGCAAGGGTGTAGGTACGGTATTCCGTAGTAGTAGCAGCAGCAGCAGCAAAGGCGCATGAACCTAGAGGTTTACCCCCTATCAATTATTAAGTAAAGGACAGGGGCTGAGGCCCCCTCCCAATATTTTAGGGGCACTGAACTCCCTTCTCCTCCTACAAAACAAGGGGGCAGCAACAGCAGTAGCCGAACTCTCTCTACCAGCAGGTGACATCTGCACTAAATTCAGAGCTGAGGCAACTACCTTCCTTTCTGCAGTCTTACATCTCATCACTGTTCTCCAAGCACTATCAAGCAAAAAACAAGAGAAACTAATTGCAGATCAAAGGACCAACACTGGCTTACTTTCCAAGGAAGCAGAACTGGTCTTGCAGTGGATACCAGCCCACTGTTGTATTCAAGGAAATAAGAGAGCAGATGCGTTGACAAAAGCTGGGAGTAATCTTCCACAACCTCATCTACCATACAGCTACAAGGAAACCAAAACAGCGCTAAAACAGTCTTTCAAGGGGGAGTGGAGAAGGCAGAATGGAGATTACAGACCAGAGAGTGACAGTACATAAACAAACTCAACAGGAAAGCACAAACATTAATTTTTATACTTCGGACAGGATACTGTTTTTTTCTGTTGGGGGTACACACACAAAATCCTAACCTGCACCAATAAAAATCCGAATGGAGCTGGACTAAAAAATTTTTTTTTACCTAGGCTCCCAGGCCGACCCAGCTTTACAAGGGCACTAAGTAAAGTCCTGGGAAGTAAATGTGGTTGGCATGATGTTTATCACATCACCCACAGAGTGCAGATCGGTCTCTAAAACAGGTCAAACACTTAATTTTGTTCAATACACCCAAAGGCGTGGAAAAGGGTCCTTTGCTTTACACTTATTTGTCCTTGGTATGTCACTAACAAATGGATGACCAATACTGGTCCACATGGTCAGAAAGATCAAGCTTCAAGCTTTTGCCATTCATAGGAAAGCCTACCAAGAGAATTTTTGAACCTTTCAGTCTCAACACATGTATCAGCTATCTTCCGAATAACGGTCCCAAATTATTGAGGCCGAAAATATACCCTAACAGGGCCTCAGTCACGTATCAATTTCCGACTTCCGGGGACTATACCGCTACAGCCGAATTGCGCACTTCCACCGACTTCAGCCACCGCCGAGAGTATCCCCCACGCGGCGTGGATTGGGGCTAAACTAGATGGCTGGTACTCACGAGCAAATAAGATAAAGGAAGCTGAAGGAGATGTGGTAGCTGCTACTCATGAGTCCCAGCCATCTATTTTAGCCCCAATCCACGCCATGTGGGGGATACTCTCGGCGGTGGCGGAAGTCGCCGGAAGTACGCAATTTAAGTCGCCGGATGTTCGTAATCGACACGTGACTGAGGCCCTGTTAGGGTATATTTTCGGCCTTAATAATTTAGGACCGTTATTCGGAAGATAGCCTATGTATCTTACATTCATGGGTGCCTACATAACATAACCCTTGACCCATTAGGGTCGTGAAGGTGGGGAAAGCACTAGCAAATAAAACCTGCCATCTTTTTCTGTTTTCCGCTTGATGAATGTGTATGACAGCTTAGACCTGTCCATTTCTTCTTGATGTCATTTCAGGTTCTTCTTTGCCCTCCTCTTCTTTGACTACCCCCAATGTTCCTTGAAGTACAGTCTTGGCAATCGAATCATATCTCACTACCAGCCTAAACCAAGCTAGCTTACCCAGAAGCCTGATGAACACAATATGCATTTTAATTTTCTCTTTACTACGCCTTGGGCCTCTGATGCTGAGCTCCCAGGACTGAAAGAGTCAAGCCTGTATAAAGTTAAGGGAAGGCAACCTTAATGACAACAAATTACAGTACACTATTTAGAATATTAACAAAGCCAAACATCTTGATTAAAGTCTTTATTATTGGACATATGACATTACTGAACTCTGCTTCCACAAAAAGTTGCAAAACTGACACTTCTGGTTTGGGGCCAATTCTTCATAATGTTACTTTCCTGACTTGCCTACAGTTATCTGTTTACAAGACATATAGTTAATGCTACTGGCTGTGTTCATGCCTGTGCAAACATTTATGAGGTCACAATGTGAAAATATTAACTAAAAATAGCATAATGAAGAGTTCTTTAAAAACAAACGGTCTATCAGCCTTAGTGATAGAGGTCATAGAGGTCACAGCATGAGTCGCCTTGGGGAATATATTCCAGTGAATACTTCACTCTGTTCATTTATTCCTCTCTCTCTCTCTCTCTCTCTCTCTCTCTCTCTATATATATATATATATATATATATATATATATATATATATATATATATATATATATATATAAATAAAATAGCAATCAAATAGCTTGCTTATTATTTGTCTTAAACAATGGCTAACTAGTGAACATAAAATTACCTAGTAAAACCACATTTGGTTGCTAAGGTTGATTGGCAACATTATGTAAAGAAAAATTATTTATTTTAATCTGTATCAGAGTCACCTAGAAAAATTACTGCAGTTTAAGAAGCAGATGAATCAAATGTCCACAAGCAACAACAATATCACACAAACAGTAACAATCAGCTTTTCCCTGATTGTTTTTTAAAGTGTTCAGTCTCATATGCCTCCAACATGGCCTCCAAAACCTGTATTCTGTCATTCTCAGCCAAGACACTGATAAGATCATCAAGTCTTTCATTCCCAGTCATAAAGACAGTCAAATCTGACAAACTTTCCTTTACACGATGATCTGTGATCCTGTCCTGCTGAAAGTTGTATGTGCGTATTTTCTCGGAGCGGGAGAGTGAGCCGGCCTGCATTTTCAAAACTGCTCTTCTTTGGGCAACCTCCTCTTCAAGAATTACTTGATACATTCTGGTGAAAGCAAATGCATGTGAATTAATTTCATTGTCCCTGTATGGTTTGCGGGGCCCCATTGTGAGGAAACCAAGAATAGACCCACTGCCTTCCCAACAAGCATACTGTAAGAGTCGATTAATTAGGGACTTACTTCGAAGTCAGAGTGCATTGCCCGAGCGGCAATGAACAACCAACTGCTATCAAATAAGCAGTAAAACACATGTACATGCAAAACTCAGACCCTGACACAAAGCTAAAGTCCAAACGGACCAACAACCAGGACTTTCCACCGGAGCTTACAGTCAGTGAACAAAGAAGAAGAAAAAGAAGAAGAAGAAGAATTTCACTGGAAGGAATTTGAAATAAATTTTATATATATTATAAATAAATATATTTTGCGCCATCTCCACAGTGGATACTGGCTTCAGTGAATATATGCATCACAACGAGCATGCAGATGATCTTGCAAACACTGCGGCTGCTATGGCAGGTCCGGCACAGGTCAGAAGCGATATTACCAATGCCATGCACAGCACTTACAGCAAAGATGAATACAGCAAAAGGCATGATTCTGTATCCCTGTCAAAGTTGATGGCCATGGGATTGCAATCTGGAAATGTTAGTGAACATTTCACTAAGGCAATGAGATGTTTCCTCAGTCAACCCAGAACAGGCTTCATCAGTCATTTTAAGCTCGTGGAGTTTCTGAGGAAACAGGTGTTGTGGTGATAATCTTCCTTAATAAGTGCATCCAGTGCTGTCTTTAGTGTCCAGCCTGAAGGTCTTAAGTTTGAATCTGCATCTCGGCAAATATTTTAAATAATTTCCCTTGGTTCTCAGTTTGACACTGCCTAAAATGAGTAATAGGATATGTCTTGGGAAGTAAAGGAGGCCAGCATGATGTTGACCTCAACATCCACTGAGTGCTGACTGGTCTATAAACATATGTCCAAAGCGCAGGTGTGGTGGTGCAGTTGCTAGCAGGCTTGCCAGCTGCTCATGGTTTTCAATGCCCGCCGAGGTAAGGGCCACTGTTGTGTAGCGGCCAGACACTCTCCTACACTGCAAAAGGTCCTGGGTTGTGGGGGGGGGGGGGGGGGGGGGATCCTGGCGGAGCCAAATAAAAAAACAAATGACCTTGGCTCCCAGGTTGACTCAGCCTTGAGTAGGTACTAGGTAAAAGTCCTGGGAAGTAAAGGCAGCAGATGTGATGCTAACCACATCATCCAGAGAGTGCAGATTGATCAATACATTATAGATCTAGCCCTATATCCCCAAATGACTGAAAGCATAAAAAAAGGGTTCTTTTACTCAAGATTTGGAAAAGGCTCTTTACTTCTCACTTCTCTATAACAATGAAACATAAATGAATATATTATTCTTTGAAAAATTTCTCACAGAATAGCAGAAGAGAATATTTATAGGCAGTCTCAAACAAGTATAAGTTCCAGCAACCTTTTAGCAGACTAGTGACACATGAAATATTTTAGTAATAGGCTAAAGGCATGTCCAATGAACCACCCATGAAAAATCTGATACATTTTGAAAAAATATTCCCGTGCCGGGAACTAAACCTGTCACCTCCAAATAGTGTGTACGCCTTGCTATGGAAACAAGTGTACTAATAACATGACCAAATAGGTACCCCTAAAAAAAAATATCTTCATGTGCCATGTCTTTCATACATCTGTCGTATTGTACAGCTATTATATCTGTCTGTCTATGTGAACTATCTGGCCAGGTCTCTGTAGTATGCATCTATGAAGACATTAGAGTGATAGCTGAACACATATGGTGTATTGCTTGGGACAGAAAGAATTAATTATAAGAAAATGTGCAAATGGCAAAAGGACAGCTTGGCTTATGTTTTACTGGGATAAAAAAGATTAAGAAGAAAAAGATGCAAAGAGGATAACAATAACAAGTCATACACTTTTTGGGGGAAAACATGTTCAATGTGAACAATAACAATAAATTAAAGCTAACATCAATTACAATTTCAAGTGGGAAAACTAGGAACACTTACTTGTTTTTCAAGTTTTTCATAGCAAGTTCTTTATTTTTTATTTGTGAACGCTCCTGCCTGCACTCTGAAACAGTACCTTTAACAACAGAAGCAAATAAAAAGTAAAATTCTGGTATCAAAACTAAATTTTTGTTGGGGTGCTTTTATATACGTTGTTTTTCACATGATATGCTTCATTGAGTGTGTACTTTCAAAACAGCAAATCATTAATTTGATGCTTATTTTTTCTGCTTCAGTTACCCTTAAAAAAAGTGGTTGGCATATGTTTGTAGTTATAGCTAGATTACAATTTACTTTGATCCAACAAATCTTCTTCTTCTTAGCGTCCATGGCTGTACACTCCAGCTGAAATCTGGTTGTTCGTCCCCTTCTGGACTTTGGTCTTATTCCAGAACTTGTGTTTTGCGTACACATCCGTTTTACAGATCTGGCCTATTTGTATGCAGACTTCTACCCCTTTCCCAAAAGGGAGTGATGACGGCAAGCTGAAGTGGCTACATACCTCTACATGATGAAATGACAGACCACCATTAAGATGATGAAGTGACAGAACAACTGTAAAATGGTGAAGTCCACAGAGCACCTGCAAGATGGAAAAGTGACAGAACACTTGTAAGATGGAGATGTGACAGAACATCTGTAAGAAAGTGAAGTGACAGATCACCTGTAAGATGAAGAAATGATAAAACATCTGTAAGATGGAGAAGTGACAGAACACCTGTAAGATGGAAAAGTGACAGAACACCTGTAAGATGGAGAAGTGACAGAACACCTGTAAGATGGAGAAGTGACAAAACACCTGTAGGTCAAATTTTTTAAAATATGACCCAGGCTTCCAGGTCGACCCAGCGTAAAATTGGTACCAAGTTAAAAGTCCTGGGAAGTAAAGATGGCTAGTGTGATGTTGACAACATCACCAACCGAGTGCCGGTTGGTCTATAAAATATAGGGCTAGCATTATATGCTCAATACACCTAGTGGCGTGGCAACAGGCCCTTAACTTCATAGCAACATCAGCAAGTCTGAAACACATTCAGGAAATAAACATATTAATGGTGTCAGCAAATGACAGTAATAATAACAAAAATTCTCAGTCTCTTGCCCAAGCTCTCAGACTGTTGTTCGTCTGTCTCTTGATGTTGTCCTCCCAACTGTGTTTCTGCCAACCTCTTGCTTTGCGACTTTCCCTTCTAGTGTGGTTTTTATAAATGTCTTTTATTGCAGCTGAATTATTTCACTTGTCTCTTTTTTTCATTTCTTTAAACTTTAAATTTTTTTTATTTTCAGTCTTATTTTGTTTCTGTGAAATGTATCATATTCTTCTGTACACTAACACTTTTTCAAACCCAACTATGACCTAACTGCTTATTCACTGCCTAAGTTTATGCATCACATAGCAGTGATAAGTAAGTTTACATTTTACAATTCATATTGTTTCGTGTGTTGTCTAGGGGCTGGTCTCAACACATGGTGTCCCCCTTGAGTGCTAGAGGTTCCAGGTTCAATCCCCAACAAAGGCTGGTATATTTTTTTTTCGTGTGGACTTGGACTTCTAGTAATTCCCCCAGTCTCTAGATAGTGAGATTGGATGCCTATGTGCATTGTTGCGCATGCAAAAAATCCCTTGGCAGTTGAAAATCGAAAAGAGTAGCATAACAGCGTTGCCCAGGCAAAATTTAGAGTTTAAAAATCTACCCAAAGTATTTCAGGTTCCTTGCTGGTGCTACAGAGCCTGTGCTGAGCTTCTTCGGACTCAGACTTGAGTTAGAAGAAGAACGGAGCACTTATAGATGCACACTACCCGTGTGCCATGATATTGATCTGTCGTTCAAACCTTCATGTGTTGTCTATATCTAGGGCAGCGGTTGGATAAAACTGTTAGAGTGCCTGCCTCTCATGTAGGAGACCTGAGTTCAAACCCTTGGTAAAGTAATAGGAAGGTTTCTGAATATTAAAAAAAAAAAAAAAAATGCACTTGGGACATGACCCGAAATCTTCAGACTCAAGAGACAGGCCTAGAAAATGGTACCATAGACAGTAAAGTTAGTCTATCTCTCTATTCATTAATAGTATATGTAGCCTTTGACCATTTCTATTGTAAGTGAAGCTGACCAATGATCTTGCTTAGGTGAAGGATCCATGAAATCTTAGTTACCTGTGGGAATATGTGTAATTCGCACTGCACTGTCTGTTGTGTTGACCGACTGACCACCTGGTCCACTGCCACGAAAGGTTTCAAGCTTCAGATCTTTCTGCTGTATGTCAATGTCTATCTGAATGGACACATACATATTTTAATATGGGAACAGAATAGTCACTCTCTCAAAATTGCTATTTTTAAGATGATTTTACTGTGACTTATTAGTGGCGTTGCAAGCCTTACTCGTAATTCCAAGGTATGGCGATCAAAACCCACTGCTGGCTGGGTGGATTTTTATCATGGTATTAGGCGTTGCAGGTCGACCCAGCCTAAAATGTATACCAGGATGGCTGTCCGTGGGAAGTAAAGACGGCTGGCGTAATGCTGACCAGATTACCCACCTAGTGCCCATTGGTCTGAAAAATATGGGATGCTCTTCCCATTTGCCCCATGCGCTTAAGGCGTGAAAAGGGATCTTTATTTACTTTACTGTGACTTATTGGCAAGTTTTTCTAAACAACAACATCACGTACCAAACTGAGTGGCTCAGGAAATCATGTTCTTTCACTAAGGTCTGGTCAGAAACCCCCAAGCACTTAGTTGTTTATCAACTGTATCTCTTACTTTCACCAAAATGATCCTACTTAATAATTTTTCTCAAGAATCGACCATAACATTACTTCTATATAATTTGTGTACTCTTACAGGTCTCATTTCTGTGGTGTCTTCATTAGATATCTTTATCTGCAGTCTGCTGGTAATTCTACAGTCACCTACACTCTGCTAAATCATTTGTGCAGAATGTCAGCTGAGGTGTTTACCCTGGCTATAGCAACTTCTGCTAGGATACTATATGAACCAGCAGCTTTCCTGTCCTGAAACATTTGATAGATTTTCTTCTTAAATTTCTTCTTAAGATGGCTTTTTTGTACATCCGTTTTACTGGCTTATTTATTTGCAGTTTGTTGTTCCTTGACTTTCTGGCAAAGCTCCCAATTAGTCGATTCCTATGAAATGCTTGTTGGAGAGGCAGTGTGTTCTTGTTTTCCCCACAGTGGGGCCCTGGAATCCACATTGGGACCATGAGATGAATGATGTTATAGTGTAACTGCTGTTTGCTTCATTATCAGTCGCATAAATACAGTGGAGCTATTACCAGTTTTCAGAAATCCAACATATCAAGATAAAACAATCAGCTGCTGTTAATGTGAAGCAGACTGCTTTGCATTAATATGGACAACTGAACCCCAAGCAGCCCACAAATGCTAAATCAGGTCTCTAATATTCTATAAATGTTGAAAGTTAAATTTAGAATCAACATCACAGCACCCAAGACACCCCCATCCCCATCTTCAGCAGCAGGTGAAGAGTTCTAATTCCAGTGGTACCAGTAACTGTCTGACTGTATATCTGTCTCACCCGTCCCTTGAGTGTTGTAACATTCTATAAAGGGTATACAACTACATTGTTTTCTCAAAGCAAGAAACATAATTAGATTTATTTAGGGAATAAACAGAATGACAATTTTTAACAAAAAGCTGTCTTTGTGGCCTGTATTTTCCACTTTAAGAGTTGATTTGAACCTCAGTCTCTTCGCATATGGGTTCTGGGCCCCCACAGTGGGAAAAACAAGAGCAGACTCCCTGTCTTCCTAACAAACATGTTGTAACAGTTGACTAATTAGGGATTTCCTATAAAGTTGGAGTATGTATGCTGGCGAGGCAAGTAACCAACAGTCTGCATACAAACCCAAGTTCTGGGGCAAGACTAAAAAAAAAGTCCAGAAGGGGACGAACTACCAGAACTTTTCGCTGGAGTTTACAGACGGTGCACAACAAGAAGAAGACGAATTTGTCTCCTGAATGAAAGCCCAGTATTCTTAACCATTTGGCCAGTAGCTCCTTAAAAGTAAGTAATTAAGGATATGATAATCATGATAAACAAGATATTCAAACTGATATAAAAAACATGGATGATTCTCACTTCTCTAGGTTGGGGTAAAACTGTAACAGAAATGGTGCTGGTATGAATACGACCAGCCTTTTCTGTTTTAGGAACCCGCTGAACCCTGTGAACTCCTGCCTCATATTTCATATGTTTGTAGACATCCTGACCAGTGATCTCAACAGTTCCTCTACGTATTCCCCCTGTGAATAAAATCAATGTTTCAGAAAAGCTTGTGGTTGGAGGTGAAACTATGAAGGCAGATTCTGGTGCTTTTGCCTGGAATACAAGTAGTCTGACTTCACTTGGGCATATCTTCTCAGTGATCCAGTGAGTATGCTCAGAAAGCCAGAGATGGGCTTGGCCCAAAGACAATGGTGGGTGTCTCTGAGTTCTGTGTGCACAAATATTTTACAAATCTGGCTAATTTGTATGCAGACTGTTGGTTTCTTGCCTCTCAGACCAGGAATTCACATATGGAACTGACTGACTGATTATCTAAAATTCACATAGTACACTTTCGGTACATCCACATATATGCTCAGTCATTAACTAAATGTCATGTAGGCATCATGTCTGTATCCTGAGCCCACTAAAAATGTCAATTATGACCATGTGCCAGAGAATTAGCTCAGTTGGCTATATCTGGCCATTTCACATCACCACCAGAAAGATGGTTAAATTCTGTGTTGTGTGTGTCACATCAATTGGTCAAGCAAAAAATATTCACATTAAACACAAAATTTGACTGACAATAAGTAATTTTGATTTTTTAAATTGTATTTAGGCTTGTAGGAACATCCAGCTTAAAACTTCTTCAGCATAACAATTACAAGCTCTTGAGGTTCACTGCTGCAGATATCACCCACCTCCATTCAACTCTGTGTCTGGCTTTCTATTTCCAGTTGGTGGCTCCAAGTGTTTGTAGGTCTATCCCAACTACCTTCTCGGTCTGCCTTGTGGTCTATTCCCATTCAACTCTTTTGTGTAGACTGTTTCTGTCTCTCTGTTATCTGCCACTCTCTACATATGCAATTATTTGTGCTCAGGATTCCAGTATGTCGCTGATCACATGACTCACTGAGTGCTGATCAGATTATACACAAAATATGAGTCTAGCACCATATACAAGACCTTCGCTCCCAGGTTGACACAGCCTTGAGTGGCTACCAGGCCGGCGTGATACTGACCAAATCTTCCACTGATTGCCGACTGCTTCATAAAAATATAAATCTAGCCCTATATGCCCAATACGCATGCAGGCGTGGAAAAGTGTACTTAACTTTTTTTTTCTAACCCATATATCAGACTCGTATGAAAAGCGACCCTAAATTTTTTTTAGTTACATCTAATTTCTCTTTTAAGCCTAAATTCACAAAGAAGTTGCACAGGCAAAGACAGAAAAGACACTTCCATAGACACACACAGTTATAATAATGTTACCTATTTCACTCTTCTCTGCAGACAGTCCTGTAATAGTCCAGCCCTTGAAGTGGGCATAGTTGCAGTACATGTCCAGTATTTCTGCAGCAAACAACATTGCCTCTTGGCCTCCAACACCTGCTGACACTTCTAAAATGATGTCATTGTGGTCGGCTGGCTCCTTTCCAACTAAAACTCCCACCAGCTGTGAAGTCACAATGTAGTCGATGATACAAATATTGAAACAGAAGATATCATGTGTTTCTCTCTTCTCATGTCTTCTATCCCCAAATGGACCATAAACAACTTTAGGCTTTCCTTCATCCTAACCTTGTCGCCCTATCTAGAAAAGTTAAATTCCACTGGTTGTGCATGCCTGTGCAGTAGGTAATAGGTCAGGATATGAATATAGCAACTAAAAACAGCACTTAGGGAATTTCCTTATGACCCCAAAGGATTTTCCGAAACTTTCCCATAAGCTTGTGTTAGATGTCAAGGGGTCATGGCATTTTATTTTTTCATGCCCTAGGGAACTGAGAAAGTATTTTATTTAATGCTTTAGTCTGGTCATGTTAATGATTATCCCTTTATAAGTCTTTATATATTTTGAAATAAAAACATGTAGATAAACTATTTAATAAAAAGTTTCAAAATTTATTCATGGTCAGCATAGAGCCTTTTTTTTAAAAAGGGTTTTTATGGAAAACTCCTAAGGGTTCATGATCATGTTTTGTTTAGCATTCACTGGGTGGAAGGGTTAGGATTTGCTGCTGACTGACTGAATTTTACATCTGTGTCTTTCGCTAGAATGAGATAGTCAATCCCATACCTCTGCTTTGGGTTTGCTTAGTAAGCGACAATGTTATTGGTTGCATTCATTATGGGTCCTTGAATCACTCAGGTTTGCGGACGAAAACAAAATGGGAGATGATCACAGTAATATCATAGCATATTTTGTTAACTTGAGGAAAAGCATCAGAAGCGTCAATTTATAAGTTATGACTATTTTATTTGATCAAAACAATCATATACTGAGGTTGTGAAGAAAGTGGGAATGAGATAAAAGTTGCAGAAATTAATAAAAAAAATAAAAAAATAATTGACAATGGACAAATTTCTGCCACATAAAAGTGATAATACTCCTTGAAAAAACATACTGGAGGAAACAGTCAGAGTCAACGCTCAAGGTAGACAATGATGCAAGTGGTAGAACAACATCAACAGGTAAATGCACAACAGTCTGCAAAAACGTACAACCAAGAGAAGGGTGTTGGAGATCTATTGTATCCAACCTTCCTTGTGGAGAAGACCAAATTGACTGATTTAGGAAGAGAGGTGGAGAACACCAGCACTCACTCATTCTTCCCCAATACATACACACATTTAACAGCTGTATGTGTAAAACAGCATGAACAGAACAGTCTTGACAAGCATGCCAATAACATGCTAAGTAAAAAAATAGTACATAAGTTAGGACACAAACTCTGGTCTTACTTCTTCCTCCAATTCTTCAATTATTTCATGATACTTCTCAATCTCTGTTTCCATCATCTTCCTCATGTCTTTGTCAGTTTCACCTTTAATAAAATAAGGGGGAAAACATCAATAAAAGTAAAAACATTTCAAAATACACATTGGAAAGTTATAGTTTGCATACAAAAAAAAAAAAAAAACCACACACATATATATAGATATTAATAAATAAAACCAGTACTAAAAAGCTTCTCTGGCAGATGCACTCTGATTCAGAAGGATCACTGCAGAGAGGTGTGTACAGGTCTTGATCAGTTTGTACCCTGATCCTGGTGCAACATCTTGTGTGTTTCGGCACCTCTGCATCCTATCACTGAGATCAAGTCAATTCTACAGAATATGACCAAACTAGTCCCAGGTGTTTTTGAGTTCCATTAGGGGCCTGTGGGTGGGGTTGGGGGAGAGGGGGGGGATGGACCTGCTGCGCCTCCTAACAAGAATGCCATAAAAGGTAACCAATTATGGGTTTGCTGAAAGGCAAAGATATCGTAACTAGCTGTAAACCCCAACCAAATTTACCAACTTTTTTTTTTTTTTTTTTTTCATCGAACACCGGCTGTGAATTCCAGTGGAAGGTCCCGGTTAATCGTCCGCTTGGACTTTTGGCTTTCACCTGGACCTGATTTTTGCGTGTACAACCGTTTTTTATTTCCCTGCCTCATGGGCAGCTGTACGCCGACTTCGAGGGAAGACGTCAGGCCTATTTCTAGGTTGACTGTGGCCATTGTTTTTTGTGGGTCGAGACGTTGCCTGATTTGTGTGGTGTCCACACCGCAGGTATTGCCCCCGGAGTACCCCTTTGGGTCAGCCCCGTGGAACAGTTAGCCCTCAAGGGAAGGCAGGGGCAGATCATGGGCATTCCCCGCCATCCAAGGAGGCATCCATGTATGCAGAGCCGGCACATCACGCTCTGGTTCTGGGCTCACCCAAGGAATCGTCACGTCCTGCACATGCCTGCTTAACCTCACAACCGTATCAGGCCTCCCGCTCGGCAGGGGCTGCGCCCTCTGGAAGTCAGCGGGGAGCAGCCCGTGGGTTTTGGACTTTTGTGACCACACAGATAGGTACATTCTTTTTTCTTCGTACGTTAGATTTCTTTGACGAGCCGTTAGCCCGACAGAATTTTACATCCTGCATCAGGCATATCGTTATCAGTTTTGTCCCAACACTCGGGCGAGTGGGGTCTTTGGGTGTGGACATTCGGTCTTTTTCAGATCAATACAAATTTTGATGGTCAGATTTTGATCTGTATGATCTAGTTTTGTCGGACATTTAGGCTTAGTCATCCGATGGATGGTTGCTGTTGTGGTGAACCTCAGCGCGGTGACGACGACACTGAGGGTTAACCGAGGATGTGCAAGGATGGTCCGCCTATGGATGGTTGCTGTTGTGGTGCACCTCAGCGCGGTGTCGACGACACTGAGGGTTAACAGTCTCCGCAGTCTTTTAACCAAGGGTTGTAATTTTGACTGTACGTTTGGCAAACCTACTCATGTTCCTAATGAGTTTTGGTAAAATTTTTCACCCAAGCGTTTGGGGGCGGGCTGATGAGGGCCACAAGGACACATCACCTCTGGGGGCCGCCGAACTCCGAGATCCCCTGACAGCTCTGTTAATGCTCATTTGAGACATTATCCGTGGCGCACGACGAGGACGTGCTGTAGGGGTCTTGCGTGAGGTTCCGTACAACCAGGATAGTAAAGGACTGGCGCCCGAGTGACGTACGGAGTATCTCCTTATACACGTCATGTTGGACTTAACTTCCCCTCACGCCTGTGACATAAATCACCGCGCCACTATTTACCAACTGACCTTTTATGGGTAAACAGAAGAGAAGAAGATGACTGAATTACAAAAAGCATAGTGCTAGGAGAATGGAAGATGGCAGAGTCCTTAAGGACATCCTCTACGGTAAAGTACAGATGGAAAGATGATGTTGAGGTCGGCCTCTACTAAGATATAAAGATATGTACAAGTGGGACATGAATGATACAGGTCCTGATGTGAATATGTGGGAAGAAAACACCAAGGACTGTGCTGCGTGGAGAGAAAAAATCAGGAACAGAATGGGGGAAAAAGGGAACAAATGATTGCAGACAGAATGAGATTTTTTTTTTTAAAGTATCCAGAAACCATGAGTTGTAAACCCTTTGGCTCAGTACTATGGATATCGCAACCCTTCGGCCTTGATTCCATTATAGGTACCATTAATCTGGGAGAAATGTGGCTTTTCTGCCTACCCCCAGGAGTGAACCCAGGCCACAAGGAGTTCGTCACCCGGCCGCTGCGAAAGTCAGGTTTAACCAACTACGCTAGAGAGCCGGGCACAGGATGAAGTACACTAAATACATGTGAAGGCAACAACATTCCTGAAATCTCATGCTCTTCCTAACACAGACAGGTCTTGCTGGTCACACTCACCATCACCAAAGGCTGTGATTCCAATGCTTTCCTACAGCACAGTATAAGACTATCATTTGGAAAGACGAAAAGGGGCCAACAACAGTGCAAGAAAAAAATTCCCGTCAGCGGTGTTACAGTTATTAGTTTTCCTCCAAGTTCACAGTTCAATAAAAGATTTTATCATCACAGAAATAGTGGCGTAAACACCTGTATCATGGCAAATACTTAAAAAGAAAGACCAGACTTGTTGCCACAGGTTGAGTAGTTGACATCAAATGACTAGCATATTGTTTTGCAGACCAACTGGCACTCTGTGAGTGATACAGTCCAAATTTGGTCCGTTACCTTTATTTCCACAATCCAGAAAATAAAATTAATAACCATTCCCACATTATCTTTCCTAGCCTGCGGATCCGAAGGTCCTGGCTTCGGGTCTTCACGAAGCCAGATTGGTTTTTTTTTTAAAAATTACCTTGGCTCCCAAGTCAATTCAGCCTTGAGTGGGTACCAGATCCAGTCCTGGAAAGTAAAAGTGGCCGATGTGATGCTGACCACATCACCCCCAAGTACAGACTGATCTATAAAATATAGGTCTAGCTCTATATGCCTGAAGGCGTGGAGAAGGGGCCTTTATTTTACTGTTATTACAATATATTTGTCATTTCATAGCTTTTTAAGTAAGTGGTTCCCAACCTTCATTATGCGGTGACCCTTTAATACAGTTCCTCATGTGGTGACCCCCAAACATACAATTACTTTCATTGCTAACTTCATAACTTCAATGAATACGTGTTTTGCGATGGTCTTTGGCAACCTCTGTGAAAGGGTCCTTTCGACTCAAAAAAGGGTCACGACCCATAGGTTGAGAACCGTTGTAATAAGTGGTCTGTTATTTTCTCCACAACTTATTGAACTGAAGCTGTCAGCAAATACTAAACTAACAGATCAGATACAAAACTAAAGGTCTACAAAGGTAACTAACTGACTAAAGCAGCTGGTAAAGCAGGTTTGAAAAATGAAAGTAGTTGCCATTACCATATCTATATTCCAGCGTGGGTTCTGGGAACCAATTTCGGGGGACAAGACTGGACACAATGCCTCCCTATCAAGCGTGTCATAAAAGGCAACTAATTAGGGATTTTTCCTCTGAGGTGACAGCGCATCTGCCTGAGAGGCAGGGAATCAACATCTGCATTTAAATAAACACATTTGTAAAATGGATATGCATGCAAAATTCAAGTTTTGGAACAAGAAGAACAACCAGAACTTTCTGCCAGAGTTTACAGAGGGTGAAAGCTAAGCAGATCTTCTTCCGCATTCATTCAAAGATGTCATTGTGTTTTGTCCGTTTACAGCATGGCTGCAACATCTGTTCCTATCGGCCGACACATCACATTTCAGCGAACATTTGTTGACCATTTAGCCTTTCAGGAGAAAAAGATTTTATCTTTACCCTCTTGCATGTCGTGGTGTCGAGGTGAAGTATAAATTGTGAGAGACTGGCTCTTTGTAAGCTTTATTTGTGGGGATTCCCAGTGATAACAAACTGATATAATAAACACTGAAATCGTACCTTGTATAGCTGAAGCAAGTTCCTGTGCCTCTGATTGCTTCTCCTGTATCCTCTTGATGGTCTCAACAACCGGCCTCAGAAATCTAAACCTAAGTGCCTGGTGCTTTGTCAGTTGTGTGTTATGACTAGAGCTCTGGCTTTCACTCAAAAGGTTGTATTCCTCTACCAGACTGTCCAGGTAGGAAGCGTAGAGAGGATTTTTAATTGTGAATTTGGATGACCCATGATAACCTCTGGTAATTGTGCCAGTTAATAATGAAGTGATAGTTAAATCCAAATTAAAATGAAACCGGTAAAATGTATGGGGCTGGTACAGTCTGTGTAAGTATGTAGGATAATGACCACAATGTGGATTTTGGAGTTCCACACTGCAGCATTTGTGAAATGTGCATTTAAATGAACACAAACTGAACAGTCTAGGACACAGTAGTATTCTAGAAGCCCTGTTGGCGGTTAAACCCTTTGCAGCTTGTCCAGAGGTATACGGCACAGTAGGACACAGTAGTATTCTAGAAGCCCTATTGGCAGTTAGACTCTTTGCAGCTTGTCCAGAGGTCTGCGGCACAGTAGGACACAGCAGTATTCTAGAAGCCCTATTGGCAGTTAGACTCTTTGCAGCTTGTCCAGAGGTCTGCGGCACAGTAGGACACAGTAGTATTCTAGAAGCCCTATTGGCAGTTAGACTCTTTGCAGCTTGTCCAGAGGTCTGCGGCACAGTGACATTAAGTGAGGCACTGGAACAGACAGCTGGTAGTGAAGTGATACATCTCCTGAACAGTACACATATGTGGCGATCTAAGCTTGCAGCAACTGCCATGTTAGCTGTTAGCACCACTGTGGATATACATTGTTTAGTTTAGTAAAATCATAAACAAGGAAATGTTCACAAGATCAAGAGCTTGTCAAACAATAAGTAAAAGCAAAGTAGAAAACCAGTTTTTCCACCTTGAGGCTGTATTGGCTACATGCTCTATCTAAATTCTATATGTTCATCACGTCACTGTTGACAAATAAAGCATTCACAAGTGATCTCTGTTGCTGACGGCCTTAATTGTATGCCCTTGGTACATGTCATTTTACATTTCTTCATTTCCATTTCTACTGCCTTCTAAGTTCTCTTAGATTGTCAATGTCTCTTTTTTCCATCTGCTGTGCATCAGACAGCTGTCCTTGCCAAAGTGTCATGAGGCATACTGCAAACATGTCTAAGCCATCTCCATCTTCTCTCTTTTGCAACATTTTTCAAAGGAAAAACATTTTCTTGTCCTCCTCATGTCTTTGTTTGTGACCTCATCTCACCAAAATATTCTCCTTAGACTTTATTTTCAAAAGTCTCTAGTTTATATGTAATTCTTGCTGTCATTTTCCCCACACTAACTACTGAACAACAGTATTCTTAAAATGTTGCTTTTTTATAATAATACGATTTGTTTCTCTAAAGTACAGTGGTACCTAGGTATATGTTTGCTTAAGTAAATGTTCAACTTTAGATCCTGTTCAGATGTGAACAATTTTGCTTGGTATACAGCTTTTTTTTTGGGGGGGGGGGGGGGGGGGGGGTGTAAGTCAAAACGAATCATGTCATTGCATGTAAACTGTGAATTAATCAACAAAATGTTTGTCAAATTGCCAGATGTTGTAAACCTTACAGAGCAGCACTAATGCAACAAAGCCCAAACAAGCTGTAATAGCACTGTCTGGAATGACCAGATGACACATTTGTTCAACATCCTGAGAAGGCAGAAGCAGTTTTTTGGGAAAGATATTTTTTTCTTCGCTTTGTATTCCCTTCGGGACCAAATAGTGGACCTAATTACTATCAGGTATTTTGCTGAATACTTGCGGTCGGGCCAAATACGAATAGTGGTTACCTTACACCTGTTTCTGCATACACTGCGAGGGTCTGAAATAACTCTCTCATTAACACAATAATTGCTGTTGCCTAAGTCTGTCCTAGTGGGGGATACTGCAACACGGTTGCGTGGTACAGCAGCTGGCAAGGTCTTTGTCTGCTGACTCAACCCAGGCATTACAGCAGAGGTTCTAAAACACTGACCCACTGGACTGCTGGAAAATAAACATGTCAAAATTTCTGACCTTGGTTCATACTGTCAAGTGTTATCTTTGTGCACCACCTACGAGCCTACCAAGTGAACGTTTGTTTAGTACAGCTGTAAATACCTTCAGTAAAACAAGAAGCTGCCTAAATGCTGACAACATGGAACGATTGGTTTTGTTTAAAGCTAATGCCGCTTTCATGCATTAACAAAGCTGTCAGTGACAATTTACAAGTTTAGTTACTTGTTATAAAACTAAGAATACTTTCATTCCTAGGTATTAGTTACCACAGACTGACTGACTGTAGGATGCAAAACTTAAAATGTTTGTAAATGTTCATTACTCCAGCCCCATGGACCAGCAATTTATTTCAAACTTTAAGAAGCTCTACACTAAAGCACTCTCCGAGCATTGTTTTCAGGTGACTGAAGGGACCAACCTCACTCTCAAAGAGTTTTGGAAAAATCATTTCCACATCATTGCCTGCCTCAAGATGATTGACAAGGCAGGGGAAAGGGTTACCAAGAGAACCCTAACTTCTGCTTAGAAGAAGCTTTGGCCGGAGAGCTTTGTCGATTTGTGACTTTGAGGGGTTCGAGACAATACCTGTTGAACCTGTAGTCAACGAGATTGTGTCTTTGGCCACTATCATGGGATTGTAGGTGGATAACAGTGATATCGAAGAGCTTGTGGAAGAGCACAGCCAAGAGCTGACCATCTAAGAGCTTACGGAGTTGTATTGTGTTTCACAGCAAGAAGTTTTGGAGGAAAGTTTGTCAGAGGAGAAAAGCAACAATCTTCTGGTGAAAAAAGTGAAATGCTGAAAGCATGGCAAACTGTTGCATCTTACATTGAGAAGTCTCAGCCGAATAAGGAAAGGGACATCTTTCTAGTAAAAAAAAAATAAATAATTATCTATGTATCATAATTATTTCGACTTTTTTTTCTGCAAATTGAATTCACATTTCAAGTGGGTTCGTTCCGCATTTAAAGAAAAGATGAAGATGATTCACTCTCCTTAACAATATGCATATAATTTTCTTTGAATAAATGTTATACATAGCATTTTGGGAGTATTTTTTTCGACATGGAATGCATTATAGTATTTTACAATAATTTATATGAGAAAAATTGTTTTGCATAACGAGTGTTTCGCTTAACGAGTATGATTCTCGAACGAATTATGCTCGTTAAGCGAGGTTGCACTGTAGTAAGTTTGGACATGTAACAAGATTGGCTGCAGACAGGGCACCACAGAGAGCAACGTTATACAGATACAACGGTAACAGACCCAGAGGTCGACCACGCAGATATGGACCGCAGAAATAGTAGAGAGACTGAAAAGTACTATATACGAAGAGGAACAGAAAGGCCCGTTATAGAGATCTCTTTCTCCCCTAACTAAACGCCGCGAGGCGTTCCTATTGGTTCATTCCAAGAGTAGAGAAAAGAAAAAGGAGAGTAATAATACAAACTTTGGCTGCCCAAACTTTTAATTTGATGCTTCCTACGCGAAGCTAATAATGCGTGTTTGTCATCCAACCAGTCAGCAAATCTGCTCTTGTTGTTTTTAGTTTAAAAGCACGGCACTCATTTTATGATGGTTCAATAGCGGTCATGTCTCCTAGAAAGTTGTCAACTTCTGTATACTAGAAAAGAAAAATATGTGAGTAAACTCCCTTTAAATGTAGTAGTGGCCAGGGTTGCCATATTGGCATTTTTTATGCCAGATTCCTTAAATTTGGCATATTTGAAACTGAACTGGCTTAAGATAATGAACTGGCATATTTTGGCATATTTCGTTTTTTTTTTTTTTTGGCAGTTTAGACCTACAGTTAACATCTTTATTTCAGTTTGACTTTTGTTTTGATGTCCGGGTACGGATTAATGGAGATTCGCGCCATTTCTTATTATATTTGTTGTCTTCCTAAACGGATCGTGACTTCGATAAACCAAGGCCCTCTGTAATTTATGTTAATCTACTAGAACAAATGCGGGATATAAAACCAAAACCCACCACTGATACCAAGTGATTCAGACTGTTCAGAAACTACTCGAGGACAGAAAATAGAGAGGATATAGACCTAATTCTATCTGTGATAGATTTTATTACTTGTATCAATGGCCACGTCATCAACAAACAAAAAATGGAAAGCATCTTATGACGTCGCGAGTATAATAGTAACTAAAAGAAAACATATCCACGGCTCAAAAGATCTTCAGACGGATTAGAGGCAGCACAATGCAAACTCTGTCAGTACACTGTTGCACAAAAAATTAGTAGCATATCAAATCATGAAAAATCCGAAAAACATAGGATGAAAACTCCGTCAAAAAGCCAGTCAGAGCTTATTACAACAATGACTCCTAGTCAAAGTAATGATAAAGTTAAAGGAAGCAGAGTTGCAACTTGCTGTAGGCATGACTTGCCATTGTGCAATGATTATCTTAGTGAAATCATGAGAGCACATGGCCGAGGTAGTACATTGGGGTACATAGTTGCATAGAACTAAATGGTTATGCTTAATTTAAAAAAAAAATGATATCGCCTGCACTTAAGGATGACCTAATTGATTATTTTCGGAACAAAAAATATGCTATCATTATAGATGAGCTGCAAAGACTTATTCCCTTCTGAGAAAATGCTTAAAGATTTTACATTTAAAAAGGTTTACGCCTTATCTTCCACTGGTTCCAGTGAAGTTGACAGTAAAGAATTAAATCTAAAGCTTTTGATGTGAAGTGAGTACAATGTTACACTTATTTGGCATTTTCTGGCATTTTTAGGTAATGATTAGGCATAAAATTAAGTTTTTTATCCGGTAACCCTGTACTAGTGGCAGCAGTGGAAGATACCACCATTTGCACTAAGCTCTGGGTACAGTTAAGGGTCAGCGGCTAAAAAGAAGGAAGTCGTGGATGGCTCAGGCAGAAGACACAATCAAACAGGTTTGCATCCTTTAGAACATGAGTCGAGGAGAGGAGGGAGTCAAAGTGCCACCTGAATAGTCAAACTTGTGTAGGGTCATAATCACACTGAACCGGGAATACAGAGACTAGCCAGCAGGTGCCAAGAAGGTGGAAATTCAGCAATTAATTCAAGCAAATACTCGCTCAGAGATTTTGATCATTTACATAAACGGTTCAGTGTCAAGAGGCAAAAGAAGTGCTTGGAGTTTCTTAGCAAAAGTTAATGGTCTACGTTTGGTGCAGGGCAGTCAACATCCAGCTTAAGAAAGGACATGGAGGCGGTCACTGCAGCTTTCCGCAGGTTAGAAAACACGACACACACACACGTCGTGATTGTAACTGACTCAGAAAGCCTGCTGAGGAAGATCAGGACAGGCAATCTTCGTGCAGAGTGGCATGCGTCGCTGCGAAGGACACAGGTGAAGAGTTTTGTTTGGAGTTTTTCTCGGAGATACACCGGTGTGTTGAAAAATGAACAACCGGACAGACTGTCTGGCTCTGCACAACTTGGTGGAATACTGATGCATGATAAGGCCGGCGTGGTTAGTGCCTTGTGGGAGAGCGTGTACAGTTCGGAGGAGCAGATGGATCACCACAGTCTGATGAGACTGATGCAGGGGTGGGTAGGGGGGGGAGTGACGATAGGTTCTGGCAGATGCTTGAGGCTCAGAGGAAGGGCAAGACGGACGTTTAATCAGAATGCTACTGGCACCATTAGTATCGGAACTCTTAGCTGGCTGCTGAAAATAGGGACGGGGTCCTTATGATAATGCCCTGAGTGCTGTTGTG